GTTAAGGTATCAGAACTTTCCAGTTTATCTGTTCTTCTCAAACTGGAAGCTCTTATTCATAATCAGCTATCTTTTTTCAACTGTCGTCCTGTCTTTACCGAACATGACATATTTAGGTGATAGTGGCTGCACCGCCTATCGCCCAAAGCCTACATTCATTGTTCGCTCCTCCGGGTCTCCTTCGGTCTCTGCTCATGTGGAAACCCGAGGTAAAATACCTACACTCGATGATTATTTTGTCCATGGCTACATCTAATTTTTACCAATATTTTCCACAGTTATTCTAAATCCTTCCATTAAACGCATTATTATTCTTTGCACATTTGTTCTGTGACTCATAAATGTTTTGACGAGCTCTAGGAATTCATTTATCCTGATGTTGAAGAACACTTCGTGCTGAGTTATGGGTGAGTGAGTCAAAACTCAACGAGGCGTTTGAGTATTGATAAATGAATGTACCATTAGACACTGATTTGAAGGGAAGTGATGAGTTTTACTCGTAACTCGGCTTTCTTATGGAACTTTCATAATGCGAACAGCGGTGTTAACCCAGTAGTTAACAAACAAAACAAGTCAAAAACGTTCCATCAGTCCTACTTCTATCAGTTGCTTTCACAATCATAGATATACGCTACAAACATCATTTTGAAGAGACACTGATCATAAGAATTTATTCTGGTGGCATGTCTTTTTGATTTCATAGCCATATATTGTGGAAAAATGTGCTCTGGTCTGTAGTATTCGAGCCAGAGTGAGCTACATACTAACGAATGTCGCCGTCATAGCTTTTTAACTGCAGTTGAAGTTCAGTTGTGGGGACAAATTTTTTGGAAAACAGCACGGAGTGAGAATAATTGTTGCAAGCCGTCTACAATTTGACAGTGATATCCAGCGCCGCTTGCCCGCTTCCTCTTTCGGAAATATCTGTATTTACATTTTGTTCATAGTTTTTCTATCGAAAGAAATTCGGTAACATAATTATTTTTAAGGCATTGATTGATCTGTGCTGCTTCCCTGGGTCAAGTGAAAGTGAGAGTGCCAATCAGTACTTGCAATCTTTACGGTTCTCTGGAGTAGTGTCAGTGGATGCATGTCAACTGCGATCTCAAAAGGAGTGGTTTTATCTACTGAGCAATGTACTCATGAAAATCAGGGTGAGTATACTACTTTCAGCTATAGATGAATTCCTTCCCGTCATATATTCTAACCTCATTCCATTCAAAAATGGAGAGGTAGTATTTTACTTAAAGATTATTTTTATTTCAGCAAAAGAGTAAATATCGGAGTTGAAGCTGGTTTGGTCTGCTTCATCGATACCATTTGTGCTATCGCGTTTTTCTGCTTCTGTCATTGCTATACTATGTGTGATGTTCTTCCAGTTCCGACTTGGAGATGGTCATGCATTAGCTACATTCTCAAAGCCGGTAATTACATATGTTTTAATTTTGATCTAACCACAATGTCGACTGAGACGCTGCCGGGTACCTTGTGTATCAATTTTCGAGGGTCAGTGGCCATATTTAAAATTATATCTCTTTCTTTTAGAATTACTCAGAAGACATCCCGACCAGCCTGGAAACTTATTTTTCCATGTTGACATCAGGAGTTTTGTCAGAGATGGGTGAGTCCTCTCTTGCCAGTCTGACCTGAATTTTTTCACAAAAAGCGTGGGCAGTCAATCGTAGATTTAGCATTGTACTATCATTTACATTCTTCTTTCTTCGTAGCTTCCGAGTGAATTTTAAGTTTAGGTAGCCTTCATTGCTTTGTACCAACGCCCATGCTAGCAATGTTGCACCCCTATCTGTTTGATCTGAATCGCCGTCAGTGGCAATTATTATTGTCGACGGAAGACTTAAACGCCATGATCGCCAGCGGTGTGGAGACGTAGAGATTGATTACACATGATTTTTCAACTTATCCAATTTGTTGTTAGCACTTAAGCGATGTTGTACTCCATCTGTTTTTCTAGTATTTGGACCCTAGCTGTGAGTTTTATAAATTGATAGGTGTTTATTGTCCATCGGGGCCGGATGCATATACTGCCGATCATAACTGATATTCAATTTGAAATGTTATATTGTTTGGATAAATGCTGAACTTTGGATCTGACTTGCTCCTTGGAGCAAATGGCTTCATTGTTAGAAGGACTACAGATGGCATATTCTACACTTGCTGACCCTGCTATAGAAAGGATATTTCCCATATTGTGTCATTCAGATCTGTACACTACAACACAGCCTTCCAGTTCCCATTTTCCTTGATGCTCCTAATATTCCTACAGAAGGATTTGATCATCGCCATCATTTTTGCAAGTGATCCTGGATTTCAGAAATCTTCGACTGATAGGTCTTGAACCTACATCTCGTATTCAAGATTATTTCCATCTGAGGTTTACAGTTCTACCTGAGGTAGCTGAGGTTGTAAACCGGCCTCTGGTAACGTCCCTGAAATCAGTTGCGCACATTTTTGAAGGCTCTATAGTACACTCGCACATCAGACAATCGCACATCGAAGTGCTCCCCATAAACTCATTTCAGTCAGGGCTCATCCCTGAACAATGCCGCTCTTTGTCTCGATTGCAGTCTACTGGCTTGAAAGGTCCGAACTAGATACAGTTGAGGATAAATTATAACGATAAAGCATTTGGCCGTTGATCAATCCCTTTTGGGATGCGGCACGCATTCTACTTCCATTTGTACATTCGTAGTGGCATTTGAATGCGATGTGGCCTATACAATGACTTGCGGGGGCCAGCCGATGTACAAGTCAGTGTTTTTATCCTCCCAGACAAGTCTGGTACCAATTAACCGACCCCGGAGGGATGGAAGGCTTGGTTGGCCCGGGCGACTCACGACCCAGGATTTGATCCCCGGACCGCTCGCGTGGTAAGCATGCTCGCGTGTACATAACTCACTTGCCTACATCACATCCACGACTGAGGAACCACCACTAAACAAACTCTTCTGTACTACGACGGGAAGCCTCAGCTTGCCTCTTGCTGGACTCGAAGAAAATCAGCCTACCAGTGGAGAAAGGTGGTACGGGTATTGGAGGCTGCTCAATCCACCTCATCTCACAAGCAAGTGCGCACAGGCTTATCCATTATATTTGAATGGTAAGAATGGCTCGCCAATTGGTTGGTGACGCAAAACTTTACGTGATCATTGTGTACAGAAAAAAGCTTTACCAATACCCAAACGACTGTTAAAATGCATCTACTTCAATCGGCTGGGTCGAATACATGGCGTATCCAGAAGTCAAAGTATAGTCGAGAATTTGGGTGAATCGAGAAAATACCGCTATTTAAAGCAACAACCCCAGATCGAACAGGTGATGTAACAGCGGTCGTCCATGAAGGGGTGAATATCGAGTCGACTGAAAATGAAAAAAAGGAAATCGCCTATGAAGGCCTTAACAAGGTCCTCTTCCGTGCATGTTGAGATGAGAAAACGAAGTGTCCAAACAAGGTCGATCTATTGAAATACTCTATTTCGGGAAAAGAGAGGAGTGTCGAGTGCAGACCACACACCACAAGTGACGACGGCCAAGAAAGAATTAAAGAAAAGTCATTTTTTCTTAGCCGTGTGGTGTGTTTGGTCGGCACTCAACACCCTTCTCGTTTTCCAAAATACAGGGTATATTACAACTGTCGTCTATCTTATCCCCAATGTCGTAACCTTGCGTGCGATTTCCAAGGCTAGCAAAGAGCCGTGTCGACCAAAAGGCGGATGGACCAAAGTTGGCGCCTATCCAAGGCCCTTATAGCCTTTTTTCAAGGACATCTTTTGCTTCAGCAATACTCAACCTTCCCTTCAAAAAGCGAGAAAGTGTCGGGTGCAGACCAAACACCACAACTGACGACGGCCTCCAAGTAAATCTGGTTAGAAGTTGTTCATAGTGATAGCTGATTTCTGGTAAATGATAGTTGTAATTAGTGACAATCGATAGAATACAACTGCAACAGGCTAATCATTTCATTGGCAGAAAACATTAACATTTTGTGAAGGCCGTCGTCACTTGTGGTGCATGGTCTGCACCCGACACTTTCTCGCTTTTTGAAGGGGAGGTAACGGATGCGAGACAAGAGTCCCCCTGAGGTCGCCGCGCAAGCGAAAGTAGGTCACCGCACGCGGCGGCTATCTACCATATCCAGCTTGAAACGTGGCAAGTTGCTAGGACTAAGCTGAAACAAATGCAGGAATGGGGCCTACACAGAGGGAACAGGAAAGCGTTGTATCGATCGTCTGGAGAGGGGTCCTGAACTCGGCAAATTGCAGAAACACCGGCGACGTCGCGCGCGGTGACCTAGTTTTGGCGCGGCGGTCGCGGGGGACTCTTGACCGTCTCCCCGCGCGGGGAAACCCCCACCCTTTAGGGCCCCTTTGCTTTCAACTAGATTCCACATGCAATCTGTAATAATGGTACCTCATCCATCGTACTGGAGTTTTTGAGCATGTGTACCTGAGAGGAATGTTCCCCGAAGCACGATCTGTGCATATTTCCCCTTGAAATCGTTCCCATGTAGCGTATGTCACAAGTTCACAATAAGCTTCATGTAAGTATGCACATTCACTGGCTAACAATATAAATACTGAATTTATTATTCTAATACACTAGCTGATGATCCCGCATACTCCTTGATAGAAATATAAGCAATGTATGTAATGTATGAACAAAAGTTTAACAACGACGATAATAATGAAAAACGGGGAAATACACGCAGAAGCTGAGATGCTGATATTGGTTTGTTCGGAGTATGCGGTTATTTGGAAATAACGGTCAGCTGCGTGCGAGATGCTCAGCGTATCACTATGATTCAACCAATCGTAAGATGCATGACTACAATTCGTGAAATATTAATATTCATGAAAAAAAAAAGAAATCAATAAATATCGGAAGTGGAACTTCCTATAGTTTCAACCACGGGGAGTTGCGCATTGCCTGCTCTCATTCAACGAATGAAGGTGGGCTTTCGGAAGGTAAATCTGAAATCCAATAACCTTTATACGAGGGGGGGGAAGCAGTCTGTAGCAAGGTCAACAGGGCTAAGCTTAACGGAGAAGTACAAATTCCATGGTGAGAATGAAAAGCTACACACCTCGATCTCTTGAAGTGAGCGTTTTCGTGAATCTAACGCAATAATACCCCCCCCCCCCGGAATTACAATGCGCGCAGTCAGCTGTCTATACGAATTGTATGCCAAGATAGCAGGCGTGCGTTTTTGCTTACAGAGCTAGCTAGCTGTACTAGCTTTCTTTAACAAACTGGATCTCCCTACTGAGAGCACTATCTCATCACCAACCGCGCGAGTTCGCGAAGTATAAACGCTTGCGTGTACCTCTTCAATGCATCACAACGTTCGACTCGAAAGGAGGAGTTGCTCACCAATAGGAAGAGTGCACTGATCTAAGAAACTACACTTACACGCATAGTCAACTGTGGCGTGTGGGTGGAGTCCCTTGGACCTGAGTAAATTTTTGACGAATCCCTCCTTTTGAGGTAACCCATACGACGACTCCACCTACCAACCTCCCTCCTCAACCACCCCCATCACAATGGCTTGTTCTATGTATAATATTTCGCTCGACCACTCGACACACTCCAAATCCCGCCCACTTTTTCCCTACAGAGCGAAGAGGGGGTGGGGAAGGAGATATATGTGGCTAAAAACGGCGAATATTCTAATTTTGTTGACATCAGTTCATTTTTCAGAATTTTTGTCAAAATTTACCAAAAACCCTCAAAGCGGGTTCCCTTCACCCACAACCACGGCCCCTCCGATTTCTAAAAACACGACCCCTTCTATCTTTTGACCATGGCCAATCCCTTACGACCCCTACAAAAAATCATAAATACGACCTCCGTCCGGATCGGCTTGGCCTTTAGCTCTGATTTCCTCATATTCATTGTCTGTGGCCAAGGGGAGAATAAGAGACAAAACGAAGAGATTAGCTCACCTATGGATGTGGCGGTGTGAATCGTCGGCATACGGTGCGCGTAACGTTGCCTTCAGCGTCAACCGTCTCAAACTGTTCCTCCATTGGTAACTCACGCACTCGCTCCTCGCTCTCCGTACCGGTAAACGTTACGTGGCTCATCACTGGGTCACGCACCTGAAATTGCAGCCATCATAAACAGCTGGCGAAGTATGTCACGGCAATGTATTCGCAGTGGTTTCAGTACCCATATTGCTATACTCCTTGATAGGAATTTGGAAAACAACCGTTCCAAAATTATTTGTTTTCTACAAAATAGTTCCTTTTCTTCAAGCATGGTCTCATTTTTACCTATACATAAACCTTACGAACACACCCTGCAAGAGGGAACCCTCAGAAAAACAGACAAATCTAAAGATATTTATTTCGGCGCTATCGCAATGTAAGGGGGCATTTCGTAAACGCCCGCCAACG